GACTCAGTTGCAAACATATGCTATCCTTTAAGAAAAAAGATGGCTAACTCTGAGGACAGAGCTGAAAGCCTATGGGGTGGAGCCATGGGTCAAGGTAGTGCAATCTCAAGCCACAGTAGATTATTCACAGACTCCATTTGTATCTAACAGAGTTTGCTCCATTTGACTTAGAAACTGCTTGAGGCCTATTCCATTTTTTTTTCTTTTATTTCCCATTTTATGGAGTTACAATGTCTATGAGTGTTTGTTATTCTATCCATGTTCAATCATTGTGTTTTTGAAGCACAAAATGTGTTTTCCAATTGTACAGTGCTACAGATATAGGGCAATTTCATCCCAGGATGGAAGACATATAGACTCTCACTATACCTGATTTAGATGATTTACACTATAGCAACTGGGACTTTAGAGCTGATGATATTTGGATAAGATATTAGACTTGGGCTAATACTGAGATGAGTTTATAGTTTTGTAGATGTTAGTTTAGTTTTGAGTGACTGTGGTTGCATGGGGGATAGACATGAATATTTGGGATTCAAGACAGACTGTGGTAGGTTGAATAATATACCCTAAAGATAACAGTTTTCTAATCCCTGGAAGTTGCAAATCTTACCTTACTGGCAAAACACAATTTGCAGGTGTAATTAAGTCAAGGATCTTGAGTTGGGGAGATAATCTTGGATTATCCAGTTGGGTCCTAAGTGTTATTATAATTGTGCATATAAAAAACAGGTAAAATAAGGCTTGACTACAGAAGAAATGCTATATGACAACATCACAGAGATTAGACTGATACAGTCAAAAAGCCAAGAAATGCTAGCAGCCACAAGGAGCAAAAAGAGGCAAGGAATACAATCTCTTCTGATGCCTTCAGAAAGAATCAGCCCCTCCAATAACTTGATCTTAGTTCTCAATGATTCATTTTGTACTTATGCCTTCCAGAAATGTAAGAAATTAAATTTCTATCATTTTAACCACAAAGTATATGGTAATTTGTTACAGAGGCAATAAAAAGCTAACCAAAGGAACAAGCACAGAGGTTACTGTAATAACCTAAATAAGAGATCAAAATGATTTAGATTTGGTGGCAGAATTGATGTTGAGACTAAATTATAGATACATATTAAAAGTAAGCCATATAGAATTTGTACTGGATGTTAACCGCTAGAGAAAGAGGGCAATCAATGATGACACAAAAGACATGCTGAATGTGTGTGTGTGTGTGTGTGTGTGTGTGTGTGTGTGAGCATGCACACACACACATTTTCATGTGTTTGTTAGCTTAAACAACTGCCTGAATAGTAGTGCCAATTTCTAAGATGCAGAATATTTATGGATGAGCAGGTATCAAAGGGGTATAAAACAAGGATTTTGTTTTGCACATATTAAGTTTGAGATATTTATTAGACATCTAAGTGGATTGTCAAAAAAGTGGTACATATAAATGTAAAAATTAGAGATGTGGTCTGGAACAGAGATATAAATTTAGAATTCACCAACATTTAGATGGCATATAAGATCATTGGAATGGATGATATTATATACTAAATGTTTGTAAACAGGAAAAAAAAGAGGTCCAAGGACTAAGTTTTTGAGCTATTCAACATTTAAAAATTGAAGAGATGATGAGAAATCAGCTACAGAGGCTGAAAGTAAAGAGATAATAGGATAGAAGATAAACCAAGAAAACAAAGTAACAGGATAGCCAAGAGAAGAATAATTTATGAAGGGGATCAATTGTATCAAGTGGTATTAGCGGAGTTGTAAATGTGAAAACCTTTGGAGAATTTTGTTTCCATGGAATGGTAAGAGCAAAATTTAAAATAAGTTTGGGAGAGAAAAAAAAAAACCTAGTAATAGTGATTATCTCCAGTAATGTCCTGGGAATCTAGTATGGGAGAGGGAATTTTGCCAACTCGTTTTTTGTATATTTTAAATTATCCGCCATACATATGAATTCAATTTTTCAATTAATATCAGTTTAGAAAGAGACTGTTAATTGTACAATTGGAAGTGGAGATAACTAATATAAATAATTCTTTCCAAGAACTTTACTATATAAAACTTACAGAAAATGAGATGCCACCTGAATGGGGCTGTGAAGGAAAAGAAACTTTTAAATGGAAAAAAGATTTTTTGAGTGACACAAGTTACTATTTTCCTTGAACACTGATGGGACAAAATCTACAAAAAGTAAATAAAAAATGATGATGTAGAAGAAAATTAGGTAAAAAACAATGCTATATGCATAAATAGCAAATAAAATCCAATCCTGTGATATGAGTTAAATTATGCCCCAAAATTTATATATATGTTCTAACATCTGGTACTTGTGAATATTACTTTACTTGGAATTGGATCTTTGCAGATGGAATCAAATAAAAATGAAATTATACTGAATTAAATTGTGGCCTAAGATGCTGACGAGTGTTCTCATAAGAAAAAAAATCATTTTCTTACAAGAATAAGAAAGAAATAGACATAGACAAAAAGCAGTTGTTACGTAATAATGGAGGCAGATATTGGTGTAATGGATCGACAAGCCACATAAAACCAGGTACTGCCAAAAACAGCCAGAAACTAGGAGAGAGAGACACACAACAGAGTGTCCCTTAGAACCTGCAGAATAAGTCAACACTGGTGACACCTTGATTTTGGACTTCTACTCTCAAAAATTGTGTGAAAACATAATAGTTTAAACCACTCAGATTCCGGTAGTTCTGACAGGAGCCTTCAGAAGCTATTATGCCTAATTAGAAGAGTTAGATCACACAAGAAGAAAGCATCTGTTCCATCAGGATGGATGGCGGAGTATAAGAGTAAAGATAAATGCAGACTTGCATATTTTCATGTGGAGAAATGTAATTGCCAGGCAACATAGATGGCCAACTTGAAGTTTATCAATTTATATTGAAATTGAAGATAATTATTAGAGGTCCACATATTATTCTCATTCATATTTATCTCATAAAGGTGTGTGGCATAATTAGAGGTGTAAATTTATTAAAGATTAAGATTCATGTTGAGCAGAGATGTCTAAAGAAAGAGTAGGGTGAAGGGAGCCGAGGATATATGACAGGAAATATTTGGGCTAATTCACCGTGAACCAGTAAAAATCTAAGATAGGTAAGGATTTATGATGGGCGACAAGAAAAGCCACAAGAAGGTCCTTAGCCAGTGACAGGGAAAAGGTAGTAGAATCAACGGTTAGTCTTGGGGGTGGAAGAATTGTTGGAATGGGGTTTGCCGAGTTCCCTGATGTATCAGTTGGAGAGCGAAAGGATTGAAGTCGAGATGCTGGAGGGACATTTGCAAGGGTAAACCAGTAGAGTAGGATGTAAGACAAAATAACTGAAGAAGAGGAAGTCAAATAATTAAAATGTTAGATAGAAGATTGATCATCTAACAGTAAAATTACCAGAATTTAAGACAAAGGTACTTTGGCAGAAAGTGATAGCCAGATGGGAAGTCATCACGAAATGCAGTAGAGTACTAGGAGTGAGGAGATGAATAAGACAAGAAAGGTCAAGGGTGATATCAGCTGATGAAATGAGATTACTCAACGTTGGCTATTTTTGGAAGAAAGAATGACCTGGAAATAGCATTGAGGAAGGAAGCAGATGTCGACTGCATTTTTAGGTTCAGTGGTAGGAGAGGGTGTAGGAAGGGTGTACCCTTCCTGAAGGCTGTAGGAAAAGCAATGAATTTGAAAGAGAGTCGGGTTTCAGATCCAGCAAGAGGACAGAGTTATCATTCAGATAGGAGGCAGAGGATGTCCCTGATGACAGGCAGTTTCAAAGACATAATGCCTAATGCTGACATAAACCTGAGGTCACTGTGACCAAAGAGGGATGACCAGATGTAGGCAGCATCCAACGAGAAGTGTCGGTAAAAGCGCTAGGGACCTGAGAAGCTGCATTTGGGGAGCCCAATCTTAATTTCTAGGTCAAATCACTCCATTTTTCCGAACCTTCTTTAGTTTTCGTTTTCTAAAAGTAATACCCACTGATAGAAAGATATGAGCATTACGTACATGTATCGTTTAAATAGCGAAAATGTCTGCAATTGCTTTTTGTGAATAATTCTCTGAAGTTTGAATTTCTGAGTCAAATATTTTCTAAATTTTCTTCTTATTATTGAGGTTGTACACTTTTTAATGTTTACTGGACATTAATATTTTTCGCATAACTTGCCTCATCACATGTCCCATATTTTAATTCCTCATTAATTGTATTTTCTGATAGACTTTACATGCATTTTGTATTAGGTTGTATCATAAGAAGTTTTCACTTTTTAGGTCAAAATATTTTATTATTGGCATTATCATACAGATAAACTTAAGATACATCAGATAGTATATGGTAGATGTAAGTTAGCATAGGTTACCCTATCTTAAGTTTTAAATTACATTCAGCAATATTCTTTAAAAGGAGACTCATTGACTTTTAAAACAAAAACAACACTACAGCAACTAAAGGCATCGGAATAACAGTTGAATCCCATATGAATGCTGTATCTTCTACTTAACGATGCCTTTAAAAATAAACAAACTATACTTTATGGGAAACAATAATCTTTTTGTCAGAAAAATAGAATGGTCTAATATTGCTTACACAAACAATAAAGTTTACCAAAATACCATACCTAGTCTTACTACATTGTATACTGCTTTACGTTTTAATGTGACTTCACATGAGTTTGTTCTTTCCATGACTCCTGAAACAGGATGTAGTTTTAAGAAACTGAGACCCAGAGAGATAAACTAGTCAGGGTTCGAAGCTCTTTTTTTAACAAAAAGATCGTACCAGTGAAATTCCAAAGCAAAACACCTAAGATACTAATGAAAATTTCATATCTCTCTTTAATATACAGATTTTAATTTATAAATAAGATGAGTATGAAAGAAACATTCTTTACAGTTAAACATATACATTGGTAACCATATTAAGCACACTGGTTACTTAAAATACTGAATGAAAGGTATTAAACTGAGGACTTACAGTCTTGGAAGAGACATTTCCCCTGCCTATATGTTGCCTGGACCTGAGCATAGTAACTTGTAACTGGTGAGTGATGTTGAGTGATGACGTCATAAAGAGGTTGTAAAGAAAGGAAATTTAAAGGGCAAGGACAGAGTAGTCAAATTTAAACTACAATATAATGTAGTTTAAACCACTCAGTTTCTGGTAGTTCTTACAGGAGCCTTAGGAAGCTAGTATGCCAAGTTGGAGGAGATAGATCACAGCAAGAAGAAAGCATCTGCTCCATCAGCATGGATGGCGGAGTATTGAAGTAAAGATGAATGCAGACTCGCCTATTTTCTTGTGGAGAAAGTAATTGCCAGGTAGCATTAATGGCCCATTTTAGTTTATCACGTTTTATTTAAATTGAAGATAATTTTTACGGGTCCACATTTTATTCTCATTCATACTTATCTCACAAAGGTGTGTGGCAAAATTAGAGCTGTAAATTTATTAAAGATTAAGTTTTGTGTTGAGCAGAGATGTCAACAAGGAGAGTAGGGTGAAGGGAGCCGAGGATATATGACAGAAAATATTTGTGCTAATTCACCGTAAACCAGTAAAAATCTAAGATAGGTAAGGATTTATGATGGACGACGAGAAAAGCCACAAGAAGGTCCATAGCCAGTGACAGGGAAAAGGTAGTAGAATCAACGGTTAGTCTTGGAGGTGGAAGAATTGTTGGAATGGGGTTTGCCGAGTTGCCTGATGTATCAGTTGGAGAGCGAAAGGTTTGAAGTCGAGATGCTGGAGGGACATTTGCAAGGGTAAACCAGTAGAGTAGGATGTAAGACAAAATAACTGAAGAAGAGGAAGTCAAATAATTAAAATGTTAGATAGAAGATTGATCATCTAACAGTAAAATTACCAGAATTTAAGACAAAGGTACTTTGGCAGAAAGTGATAGCCAGATGGGAAGTCATCACGAAATGCAGTAGAGTACTAGGAGTGAGGAGATGAATAAGACAAGAAAGGTCAAGGGTGATATCAGCTGATGAAATGAGATTATTCAACGTTGGCTATTTTTGGAAGAAAGAATGACCTGGAAATAGCATTGAGGAAGGAAGCAGATGTCGACTGCATTTTTAGGTTCAGTAGTAGGAGAGGGTGTAGGAAGGGTGTACCCTTCCTGAAGGCTGTAGGAAAAGCAATGAATTTGAAAGAGAGTCGGGTTTCAGATCCAGCAAGAGGACAGAGTTATCATTCAGATAGGAGGCAGAGGATGTCCCTGATGACAGGCAGTTTCAAAGACATAATGCCTAATGCTGACATAAACCTGAGGTCACTGTGACCAAAGAGGGATGACCAGATGTAGGCAGCATCCAACGAGAAGTGTCGGTAAAAGCGCTAGGGACCTGAGAAGCTGCATTTGGGGAGCCCAATCTTAATTTCTAGGTCAAATCACTCCATTTTTCCGAACCTTCTTTAGTTTTCATTTTCTAAAAGTAATACCCACTGATAGAAAGATATAAGCATTACATACATGTATCGTTTAAATAGCGAAAATGTCTGCAATTGCTTTTTGTGAATAATTCTCTGAAGTTTGAATTTCTGAGTCAAATATTTTCTAAATTTTCTTCTTATTATTGAGGTTGTGCACTTTTTAATGTTTACTGGACATTAATATTTTTCGCATAACTTGCCTCATCACATGTCCCATATTTTAATTCCTCATTAATTGTATTTTCTGATAGACTTTACATGCATTTTGTATTAGGTTGTAACATAAGAAGTTTTCACTTTTTAGGTCAAAATATTTTATTATTGGTATTATCATACAGATAAACTTAAGATACATCAGACAGTATATGGTGGATGTAAGTTAGCATAGGTTACCCTAAGTTTTAAATTACATTCAGCAATATTCTTTAAAAGGAGACTCATTGACTTTTAAAACAAAAACAACACTACAGCAACTAAAGGCATCGAAATAACAGTTGAATCCCATATAAATGCTGTATCTTCTACTTAACCATGCCTTTAAAAATAAACAAACTATACTTTATTGGAAACAATAATCTTTTTGTCAGAAAAATAGAATGGTCTAATATTGCTTACACAAACAATAAAGTTTACCAAAATACCATACCTAGTCTTACTACATTGTATACTGCTTTACGTTTTAATGTGACTTCACATGAGTTTGTTCTTCCCATGACTCCTGAAACAGGATGTAGTTTTAAGAAACTGAGACCCAGAGAGATAAACTAGTCAGGGTTCGAAGCTCTTTTTTTAACAAAAAGATCGTACCAGTGAAATTCCAAAGCAAAACACCTAAGATACTAATGAAAATTTCATATCTCTCTTTAATATACAGATTTTAATTTATAAATAAGATGAGTATGAAAGAAACATTCTTTACAGTTAAACATATACATTGGTAACCATATTAAGCACACTGGTTACTTAAAATACTGAATGAAAGGTATTAAACTGAGGACTTACAGTCTTGGAAGAGACATTTCCCCTGCCTATATGTTGCCTGGACCTGAGCATAGTAACTTGTAACTGGTGAGTGATGTTGAGTGATGTTGAGTGATGACGTCATAAAGAGGTTGTAAAGGAAGGAAATTTAAAGGGCAAGGACAGAGTAGTCAAATTTAAACTACAATATAATGTAGTTTAAGCCACTCAGTTTCTGGTAGTTCTTACAGGAGCCTTAGGAAGCTAATATGCCTAGTTGGAGGAGATAGATCACAGGAAGAAGAAAGCATCTGCTCCATCAGCATGGATGGCGGAGTATTGGAGTAAAGATGAGTGCAGACTCGCCTATTTTCTTGTGGAGAACGTAATTGCCAGGTAGCATTAATGGCCCATTTTAGTTTATCACGTTTTATTTAAATTGAAGATAATTTTTACGGGTCCACATTTTATTCTCATTCATACTTATCTCACAAAGGTGTGTGGCATAATTAGAGCTGTAAATTTATTAAAGATTAAGTTTTGTGTTGAGCAGAGATGTCAACAAGGAGAGTAGGGTGAAGGGAGCCGAGGATATATGACAGAAAATATTTGTGCTAATTCACCGTAAACCAGTAAAAATCTAAGATAGGTAAGGATTTATGATGGACGACGAGAAAAGCCACAAGAAGGTCCTTAGCCAGTGACAGGGAAAAGGTAGTAGAATCAACGGTTAGTCTTGGAGGTGGAAGAATTGTTGGAATGGGGTTTGCCGAGTTGCCTGATGTATCAGTTGGAGAGCGAAAGGTTTGAAGTCGAGATGCTGGAGGGACATTTGCAAGGGTAAACCAGTAGAGTAGGATGTAAGACAAAATAACTGAAGAAGAGGAAGTCAAATAATTAAAATGTTAGATAGAAGATTGATCATCTAACAGTAAAATTACCAGAATTTAAGACAAAGGTACTTTGGCAGAAAGTGATAGCCAGATGGGAAGTCATCACGAAATGCAGTAGAGTAACAGGAGTGAGGAGATGAATAAGACAAGAAAGGTCAAGGGTGATATCAGCTGATGAAATGAGATTATTCAACGTTGGCTGTTTTTGGAAGAAAGAATGACCTGGAAATAGCATTGAGGAAGGAAGCAGATGTCGACTGCATTTTTAGGTTCAGTGGTAGGAGAGGGTGTAGGAAGGGTGTACCCTTCCTGAAGGCTGTAGGAAAAGCAATGAATTTGAAAGAGAGTCGGGTTTCAGATCCAGCAAGAGGACAGAGTTATCGTTCAGATAGGAGGCAGAGGATGTCGCTGATGACAGGCAGTTTCAAAGACATAATGCCTAATGCTGACATAAACCTGAGGTCACTGTGACCGAAGAGGGATGACCAGATGTAGGCAGCATCCAACGAGAAGTGTCGGTAAAAGCGCTAGGGACCTGAGAAGCTGCATTTGGGGAGCCCAATCTTAATTTCTAGGTCAAATCACTCCATTTTTCCGAACCTTCTTTAGTTTTCATTTTCTAAAGTGATACCCACTGATAGAAAGATGTGAGCATTACGTACATGTATCGTTTAAATAGCGAAAATGTCTGCAATTGCTTTTTGTGAATAATTCTCTGAAATTTGAATTTCTGAGTCAAATATTTTCTAAATTTTCTTCTTATTATTGAGGTTGTGCACTTTTTAATGTTTACTGGACATTAATATTTTTCGCATAACTTGCCTCATCACATGTCCCATATTTTAATTCCTCATTAATTGTATTTTCTGATAGACTTTACAAGCATTTTGTATTAGGTTGTATCATAAGAAGTTTTCACTTTTTAGGTCAAAATATTTTATTATTGGCATTATCATACAGATAAACTTAAGATACATCAGATAGTATATGGTAGATGTAAGTTAGCATAGGTTACCCTATCTTAAGTTTTAAATTGCATTCAGCAATATTCTTTAAAAGGAGACTCATTGACTTTTAAAACAAAAACAACACTACAGCAACTAAAGGCATCGGAATAACAGTTGAATCCAATATGAATGCTGTATCTTCTACTTAACGATGCCTTTAAAAATAAACCAACTATACTTTATTGGAAACAATAATCTTTTTGTCAGATAAATAGAATGGTCTAATATTGCTTACACAAACAATAAAGTTTACCAAAATACCATACCTAGTCTTACTACATTGTATACTGCTTTACGTTTTAATGTGACTTCACATGAGTTTGTTCTTTCCATGACTCCTGAAACAGGATGTAGTTTTAAGAAACTGAGACCCAGAGAGATAAACTAGTCAGGGTTCGAAGCTCTTTTTTTAACAAAAAGATCGTACCAGTGAAATTCCAAAGCAAAACACCTAAGATACTAATGAAAATTTCATATCTCTCTTTAATATACAGATTTTAATTTATAAATAAGATGAGTATGAAAGAAACATTCTTTACAGTTAAACATATACATTGGTAACCATATTAAGCACACTGGTTACTTAAAATACTGAATGAAAGGTATTAAACTGAGGACTTACAGTCTTGGAAGAGACATTTCCCCTGCCTATATGTTGCCTGGACCTGAGCATAGTAACTTGTAACTGGTGAGTGATGTTGAGTAATGTTGAGTGATGACGTCATAAAGAGGTTGTAAAGAAAGGAAATTTAAAGGG